TATGATATAAATTATTTTTTAAATTAGATCATAGTATTATACTATTTATATTCCGTATGTAATTAAATCCAAATTCATTCACAATTATATTCATTTTAACTTAAATCTAATCCTAAAAAACCTAACACTCCTTTATTTTATAAATTGATTTCCTTAAAATCGAAAATTGATGGTCTTATATCTATTATCTATATTTTAATTTGATTTGTTTTTTTCAAAAAAAATAATTTTTTCCATTTTCGATAATTTGATTTTATGTTTTAAAAATATTGGATGTCTACACATATTATTTCAGTATGATTTGATGTTTTTATTTTTAATAAGTGTTAATTTTAATTTATTTATATATAATAAAGAATTATGATTTCTACATCTCAAAAAAAATTATAGTTATATTATATTAAGACTTTACTCATACACAAAGTGTTAATTTTAATTTATTTATATATAATAGAGAATATGATTTTAAAATTTCAAAAAAAATTGTATTTATATTATATTAACACCTTACTCATACACAAATATTTGATAAAAACAAAATAATTCCTTTCGTTTATTAATTTAAGAGTCATTTCATGAATCTTGCTTTAATTGCATTTATTTTGAGTTTTCTACCCGAAACATTTGATTTTTAAATATAACTATCATGAGAAAATATTTATATTAATTATTAGTTCTTTAAAAACATGCAAAGACCAAAATAAATAAAAGTGAACACTTAAAAATATCATGGTGAAAAAACCTAAAATCATGTTTACGCAAAAATACAAATATATTATGTTCTAAATATCTAAAAAAAAAATCATGGTGAAAAAAACTAAAATCATGATTACATCAAATCTTAGAAATATTATGGTGAAAATTTTTTTAAAAAAAATATGGCTACACAAAACCTTAAAATATTATGTGAGAAAATAAACCAAAATCATGGTTACTATTATAGGAAAAAAAAAACTTTGCGGCATTTAATTTACGGCCATAAAAATAACTATTCTAACGAAATTATATAAGTAGAATCTATACTAAAACATAATAAAACTTTGTAAACATAACAAAAAATCAATTCCAAGCATAAATATTTCAAAATAATTAAAATTAAACCTCAATTTCCGCAACATAACATACTCCAAATCTTGCAAGCATTTATACTTCTCCTTTCAACATCTATAATACCAAATCCAAAAAAAAATTATCATATGATTAGAATCGAAATTAAAATTTCAACATTATAAATTCTAAATAACTATACTCTAAATTCAATATTTATATATATATTTAAAAAAGAAATATTTTGATATAGATATTTTACTTTAACTAAACGCTACTGAATTCAATTGAGAATTCATAATAAATCTTCTAGCTCCGACTCTGAATATAAACGACCTTTGGGGATCCAAAAAGACTTTATTCATGTCGATGACTAGCTTTACCCTTTTTAACATTTTTGTCTCTATAACTAAAAAGGGATGTAGAAAACATCATGGTTTTGTGTGCCTCAAAACACAACATAATTGTGGACAAAATATTTATAGCCGAAAAAAAAATGATTTATTTTCTTCTTAATATATAATGGGAATTTTGACATTTGTGTCAATATTTTTTAATAAAAAAATTAAGCCAAAATATGCTGACACGTGTTAACTTTATCCTTTATGTTTATTTATAAAATATAGCAAGTTCTTTAATCTGCCATTTTCTAGCTTTTTCTACTGGATAAATAAATTTTGGCATTATTGGATTTTTAAAAAGATGTCAATAAAAAATAAAATGAATTTTATCAAATAGCCCTTCGATTCGTGTATCGGGAATGAACTCCAGATCGAAATTCTCTGGTGAAGGAGTCGGGATTGGCGCTTGATTTCAAATTTGACCTATGAAAATATACTTAATTTCAGCTTTTGATATTCAACTCTAAATTAAGATATATTTTTTTCATAAGAATAATTATTTTTTTATTCATTATTTAAATCTATATTTTAAAATAATTAAATAACTCTCTTTGGTTCTTTTTTCTGATTGCTCTTTTGCCGATTTCTTTATCTCTTACCTCTGCTATTCAGTGATGATTTATATATATTTTGATATTAAATATATATATTTATTTATTAAAATATTGATAAATATATTAGTATATATTACTGATATGAGCTATATGTAATTTTAATATTTGATACATGTATTTATATATAAATATATTCAATATTTAATATGAAATATACTGATAAAAATGATATTATATATACGAAATCAACTGATATTAGACGTACTAAATAAAATTAATTTTGAAATATAACTACATAAAATAGATTATGAATAAATAAATAAATACATAAAATTTGTGAAATTGAGATAAATTTTATAATACATAGGCAAAGAGGCATGTGATATATGTATCTTTGTTCAATCAAATATTATATGTATTTTAAATAATATTCTTATCGAAAATGTAATAAGAGAAATCATTGTTTTATTATTATTATTACTATGGACTATTATACATATAGATAACTATAACAATTACCGATTCTAATTAATCGTCTATTTTAACTTGACAGAGAATTTAAAAAATATCTTTTTAATTTTATAATCTTAAATTATAAATATTCAAATATATGAAAAATTCTTTAATTTTGTAATTCAAGTACGTTATGTGAAAAATTAAATTAAAAAATTATTTTAAACTTTTTTATAAAAATTAATTACCAATCTTAACTTAACCCCTTATATAAGTTTCTTTTATATTAAATGAAATTATGAAAATTATAAAAATTAATGGATGAAGTTAGATTATAAACATTGTTTAATTACCAATCTTAACTTAACCCATCATATACCATCTCAACTTTGAATAAAAATTAAATAATAACTCATTTAATACTTTAACATATTTTGATCCGTTCAAATTAACTCAAATAATTTATTTGTCACACAAACTCACTTGTTATGCTAAATGTTTAGAAGACTTCTAACAAAACTTTTAGATTTATATTATTTTTTATTTTAATTTATTGTCATATTTTCTTTTAAAATATATTTCAATAAAAGAATATTTTTTTTTTAATTTCAATTTTTTACTTCATATGTATATAAGACCATAAATTTACTTAATTACGGCGCCGTATTTTTGTAAAAGAAAATTAAAATATAGTAACATGAAAGCGTGAAGGGGTGTGGGCAACACGTGCTAGATAGCACTTATTTCCTTGGTCATAAGTCATAACCATGCTTTGCCCTCATGGCTTCACGTGATATTCATCGAGGCTCGACTAATTCATATTCACTTTGAAAATATTTAATTTTGAACGTAAAATATTCATCAATTTTGAATTCGTTAAAGTTCGAACGAGCTTTAAAATTTACTATATATTTAAGTAAGTTAGTGAAATTTTGATAAATTTCTCCTATTAAATTTGTAAATTTTAAATTTAGCAAACATAAATATTATATTAGTATGTGATAATTATAGTTTGTATAATTGTGCTTTATAGCAAATTTTATGTTTGTTATGACTATTAATATATATATATATTTCGGTATATATATATAAACAATCAATTGTATAATCTATGTCAGTATACATATACAAATGAATCAGTTGTATAATTTTGTGTTTGTATAAAAAGAGAAAGAGAGAGACGAAAAAAAATGAACAAAGAACAGAAATTACATACTTTTAAAACAAAATTATCCTTATAAGTTTATCATTATAGAAAACTTTCAAACTAATACAATATTATAATGTAAATTAATTTGATACGCGAGATACATTAATCATTACTTAAGATACATTACGTTTAAAATTATTCTCAACTAATGTCTTTTAAGTTGAAAGAAAAATGTCCATTGACTTGATAATATATGGCATTTTAAAATCAAAAATAATTATTTATATATTTCAGATTATAAATTTCATAACGAATCAAACTACATTATGTAAATTGGGGTTAGAAGGAGACATCCACTCTCGACATAGCTTCTGGCCGAGCGTTTTTATGAAATTTATGTGCTTTTTTCATTTTAATTTTTATGTATTACTTTTCCTTTTAGTTTGCTATATATTTAAAAAATACATAAAAGAAAATATTATAAATCATTATAATTAACAACTTAAAATATTTTAAAGATATATATAATAAAGATTGGCTCTCAAAGTTCTACTGATACAATATAAATTGAAATTGAGAAAATAACATATCTTATTTTAAAAAATTATGTAAAATAATATAAATCATAATATATACCATTTTAAATATTTTTTAAAAAAAATATTTCATTTAGAAAAGTAGTTATCGCTCCACCGGAAAGTAACATATTATTTACGAATTAAACTTCTTTTTGGATAACGGTATCTAACCAAAAAAAAAAAGACTTCTTTTCAAGGTATTAGGTGAAGTGAGTGAATCATAAGGGAAAATAATAGTATTAAAAACACTTGACACTTAACTCACAAAGTTAAAAACAATTTTATGGTAATAAATACAAGATATAATAAACATATCTATTAGCCATTCAAATTTAAATAATTACGTCTCAAATTTTATTCAATTTTACAACAGTTTATATATATTAGTTATCGAAAACTATGCGGATAAGTAAACATATACTAATTAATTAGCTAATATAATTATTATTTGAATTAATTGTAACTCACAACTTAATTTTAGATGTAATTACGTCCGCCTCTCTCCTCTTTTATACATATACAAATACAAATTATACATATCATATACAAATATGACACATACAAATACATTTAGTCTCTCTCCGCTCTCTCTCGCCAGATATACAAATACATACATATACCAGTTACATATATAATTATTTAACAAATATACATACACAACTCACTTCTCTCCACTCTTTTCCCTCTCTCGTTGGCCTCTCTCCTCCATCTCGTATTCTCGCTCACCTCTCTCCTCCCTCTCTCAATCTCTTTCGACAGATATACAAATGAATTGTAAATACATATCGAATTGTATTTGTAAAATAATGAGAGGTTGTTTTCGCATGATAAGGTTTAGTATTGATCACAACCAGTGAAAGTACAAATTACTACTCCTACCATCACAATTTGTATGATGGATGTCTCAAAAAAACTGACCATTCAATTTAGATACACAACTTTGAAGTTAAACAACTTTGAAAAGTATAAGTAACATTTTAAACCACTTCACAGTGTTGAGTAAACTAATCTACAAGAATAAGCCTTCCTATAGCATAATGTTTAGCTTTGTTTTCTCATGCATGATATTTGGCGTTTTTTAACTGAATTTGGGTGTTTTCTGTAGGTCTCATGGTTGACATGGCTGATACATCACATGACAATTTGGTCATTCTTGCTTTCCATTGGTTCCCGTGCTCTGGTTTCTGCTTTCAGATAAGGAGTCGTGAACAATTTTCATAGTTTTCATGGGTTTCACTTCCCTGCGCTTCGTCTACTTGCCGGTAATTTTTGACTCTACAAAACTAAGAGTGGGTAATGTGATATTTTAGATGTACAAGCATAGGACTCCTGGGGTATTGAGCTCAGTTGTCTGATTAAGGCAGCATGAAAGCACCTATATTGTATATGTAAGAGCCTAAGAGGAAGGACCCCAAACTTAAGAGGCATAGTCTTTTAATTTGATTTGAATACTATATAATTTCTCTCATTCGTAAACTAAGAGGGATAAGTATGAGCTATATTGAATAGTTTGAAGGTCTTTTTGACCATTTTCTGATAAATATATGCATATGAAATAGGGAGGATTGAGCAATAAATTAAAGTTAAGAGAGCAGGAGAGAAATTCAGTAACGAAAGATTACGTACCATCCCTTTAGAAGACCTCTGTTTTTGCGAGTTGGAGTGGCGGGGAGGCATTAGAGCAGGGAGTCTGGATGAAGTGGATGATGCCGGAGGCTACACCAGAAAAGGGAAGGCAAAATAAAGAAGAGCAAAATGTCAAGCGGTAGCACAGATGCACTATTGGAAAAGGATAGCAATTGTATGCAGGCACCTATGCAAATTAATTGAAATCAGTATCCCTTCAAACCTCAAATAAAGAGCAGAAGAAGTTCGTTTCACATTCCTGGCATGCTTTAGCAATGGATTTCCCTTCTACATCCAAATAGAAACAACAGAATAAATAGACAAAACTTACAAATAAGTTGCTGCGACAGAATGAAAGGTGAGTGTCTTCTTATTAGATAAACCAATTTGCTATAAGCAGAAATGAAAATTCAAAAGTCAGAGAACCTTTTCAATGGTATAATAGTTATACAGCTTCTCAGAGCACCGAGTGGCTGAAAAATTTGTCGAATTGAGCTACATCAAAACCAAAGACTAATGAGGATGTAAGCAGCACTACAATGCTATGCTATTTACAGGTGATACATGTCTACAGCACGAGTAGAGCAGAAATAAGAACTTATAACTTAAAATCTAATATAAGTAATCTGTCTGTGAGATGGTGGATATGTAAATAAAACACAAGTTGCAAGGTGGTACCAATAGTGTGAGTTTTACGAATCTTATGTTATGCAGAATCTATTTTGATATAAAACGATGACAATATCATTTGTCTTGTATGAGCAGTTAGGTGGCTTATCACTTCGTTTGAGTTGGATGTTAGTCTGCAACCACTGTAAGAAGAAATAATACTGAGTAAACAGGAAAAAGAAATCAACTTGTGCGGGCAACTTTCAATTGCATAATGCTCTAGTAAATATCCCTTTACCTCATCTCTAATCTTATATAGTTTATGTTATCAAAAAATTGTCAACTTGAGATCGAACTTCTAGTTTGTAAACTCTGCTTCATCCGAAGAGAGGAATCAATCTATCTTTTCTGCTAGTCATTTTCCTTTTTTAGTATTAAAATCTAGCTCTTGCATTTTTATTCGATCCGGGGAATGGTCGTACCTTGTGTGGCAACTTTCAATTGCATAATGTTCTAGCAAAGGTCCCTTTACATAAGACCCACCACACCTTTTGATAAACATAGCGAAAGACACACAATAGAAGGCAAAACAATTTTCTGCTGATGAGGTTTTACCAATCATTTAATACAACACAAATATGTTGCTAATCTCGCTACCTTTAATTCTACAGCTCAAAACTTCAGCAAATCCAATATTCAATAAAATCACTTTTAAATCTAAAGTTGATATACCTCATGGAGCCCTAAATCCTAATCCATCAACCAAAAGAACAAAATTAAAAAGACCCGCAGTTTTTTCAGAGATAACTCACAGAGAACTCTAAAAAGTCATGCTTAAGCGCGTTAAAACAACAAAATTGAAGCACATAGACCAGAGGGAAAAGTAATAAATTTAAGAAAGGACAAAGATACATACCGAAGCAAAAAGGAGCACCACCCAGAAAATCTGATAAGCTTTGTGTATACTGATCTACTTGTAGTTATTGTGTGGCGGTGTAGTAGTTAGGACGTATTCCTGTATAGTTAGGCCAGCTGCGGAGTGTTGGAGAAGACACACAAAAGCAGCACATGAAAAGACAAACTTACCCCTCTGCGGAAGCAGACATGACGACGAAGAGGAGATTCCTGTTAGAGTCTTCTATATATGAGAAATATAATGAAATTCCTCATTATCTACGACTAAGACCATATTTTAAACCACATATATTCGGATTAATTCACACACTAATTCATATATTTTGTTTATCTTCTATTAGGTAAGACAAACATTAAGTTAAACAACCAAGAACTTCCCTTAAAAAAATTGTAAATCAAAAAAGAAACTAAACAATTGTCAAAGTACACCAAAAACTCATATAGTATTTGACAGTAACTACTGTTACAACTTACGAGAGAACAAAGCGCGCCAATATGAGCTCCGGACACCGGGCTTGAAAACCCCCAAAAAGGGGGTGCTCTACGGGCAAAATACAATTCTCACAATCTAAGAATAAATGGAACAGATATATTGGTGAACTTCCTACTATTGCTACTCTGACTTTCAGCAATTTCCTTCAAACTAGTCCAAGACTTCTTCTTTCTCTTACTGGATGTTGAGACAGTCTTCTCAGCATCTGTCATGGATGAACCATCCTGAGGTTCAGCTTTCTTCTTGGACCCTGTTCTATTTCTTTTCCTTTTCTTTGAATCCAACAGAGAAGTAACCGTACCTGTTGACAATGGAGTTGCCGGACCAGCCATAGGATCATCTCCAACTAGTTCAGATGAAACTATTACATCTGTGGTACTGCCCCCTAAAGTGTCGAACTGTTCAGACTTTTGGGTTGCTGATACAGTAGCGTCAATTCTTGTCTTATCAATACTAGCCACTGACGTATCCAAATGATCAGACTTTTGCATTGCTGATTCAGTAGGATCAACTCTTGCCTTATCAGTACTAGCCACTGACAAATCCAAATGTTCAGACTTATGCATTGCTGATTCAGTAGGATCAACTTTTGCCTTATCGATACTAGCCACTAAAGTGCCCAAATGTTCAGATCTTTGCATTGCTGATTCAGTAGGATCAACTTTTGCCTTTGGGGTTGCTGATTTAGCAGGATCAACTGTTAAAGTTTTTGGTTTAGCAGGATATAGGCTTTTCATATAGCCTCTTGGGGTTCCTCTCTTTAGATTCCGATGTGAGCAGAAATGACACTCATATACAACTGAATTCTTCGGGGGAATACCGGATGTCTTGCATTTCTTTCGTGCCTTTCTTTTGTTCTTCTCAATCTGTGCTGTACAATTGTAGCCAGCCTGAAGGATAGATTCACACCTGTGAAATATCAATTATAAGTTAGTATGCAAGCCTAGAAAAAGGATGAGAAGTCGACAATGACTCATTCAACATGAAGGTCTTGAGGTGTGCGATCCGGTGCAATTCATCATTGAACATCGTTTCTACACTGGTTCGTACAATATAAAAAAGTGAGGTCTAGGAGGGTAAAGTGCCAGCAAACCTTGTCCTGACCCCTATATTAGGATACAAAGGTTGTTTCCAATAGACTCGAGAAGACAGGCATAGCATTCCAGAAAGAGAATAAGCTAAAGTGAGAGCATAACAAAGCATTCTGAACAGTATAACAAAATAATACGATAATCAATGTACAAGATACAAAAGATAGTAACAAATATTACAACTACTTGTATGGACGGATAGCAATACAACACATCACTACCTAGTAATGTCCTATAACCTCCTACACTAATTTGTATCTTCCACAAGCTCCAATCTAAGGTCATGCTCTCAATAAGCTAAAAATTATGTCATATCCGGTCTAATCACCTCTCCTAAAACCAACCATAGTCAACCTCTCACACATTCACACATTTGTGCATTTGCATCTCCATCTCAGTCTAGCTTCCCGCATCTTGTCCTCCACCAAAACCATTCCTACCTTATCCCGAATATACTAATCTCTAATCCTGTCTCTCTTACTATACCCCTACATCCATTAATGAACAAATATCCATTTTTCAACCCATCACAAAATTAACAAAGTATGTATTCATAAATGCAAGACAAATCAAATAAAAAATTTATAAAAAGCTCAAACCTTTGACAAGTAAATAATGAAGGGTCAGGTGGAACACCCAAAGACTCAGCTGATACAGCTAATCTCTGCCCAAAAAACGCACCAAGTGAAGGTATGGAACCTTCGCCACTAGCCCAGGTAGCAATATCCTTTATATGCTCCAATTTCAGCATCGATTTCGCATTAACATGAGTTTGTTTCTTCTTCACACCTGATTCTTCTCTTAATGTAATTGAACCAGGTGCTTTACCAACTCCATTCTTCCTCGATGATTTCTTACCCATAATTGCCGTCGGAGATGGTTTTCCGCCGTCGCCGGAGTCGGTAAAGGAAACCGCCGCCGACTTCCTCTGGGTACGTGAAGCTGATATAAGCTATAAGCTTAATGTAATATGTTTAATGTACTGAAAATTAATTTTTTTAAGCATAAATATTTTTAAAAATCATACATTTAATAACAGAGTGTAATATATATCTTTAAAATAATTTAAGTTATTAATTATTGTGATTTATTATTTTTTAACTTAATTTTTAAATATATAACAAACTAAAAAAAAGTAAAACATATAAATTAAAATGAATAGAACACATAAATTTCATAAAAGCGCTCAGCTAGAATCAGATATGCCGAAAAAGGGTGTTTGTTTCCAACTCCAGTTTATGTAATGTAGTTTGATTTGATACGAAGTTTACACAAAAATAAAAATTTATGAAACTTATAGTTTAAAATAAGTTATAAATATTCGTAACTATAAATCATTTCATCATGAAAAAAATAGACATTTTAAAATTAAATCATTTCCAAATATAGAAATATAACAATCTTATGAAGACCGACTAAAAAGAAAATTGAATGGTATAAATTGAAACAGTTAAGCTAACGATTCTAACATTGTTAAGTACTCCCTCCGTTTCAAAAAAGAATGACCTAGTTTGACTTGGAACGAAGTTTAAGAAAGAAAAGAAGACTTTTTAATATTATGATTTTAAATTAAAGTTATGTCAAATGTATCAAAACGCTCTTTAATCTTTTGATTTTAAACATGTCAGAAGAATAGTTAAAGTTAAAGTGTTGTCAAAAAGAAAAAAGTCATTTTTTTAAAACAAATTAAAAAGAAAATAGAATTTTTCTTTTTTAAACGGATAAGATATTTTTTTCAATTGGAACCGGTTAGAATACATAATGATAAATGATGATATAGGCAAATTGGTACAAGTGTCCAAAAAGATTATAGAGAAAGTACAATGAGAGGGGTGGTGGCTTTGGTGGGAAATCAAAAGTTGATTTGGATAGAAGAAATGAATTATATTATTAAGCAGATTTTGTTGGATTAAAATTGAGTAATCTAAGTTAAATTTAATTGATTTGAGATTTTCCATACAAGGAGGGGTATATTTGTTAAATTTATTGATGGCAGGGGTAAAAATAATTTATTTTTAATGGTAGGGATAAAGTTAACCAATAAAATAAAGTTAAGGGGTATTTTTTTACCCTTTTCCCTTAAAAAAATAAGGAATCTGGAAGATTTTAAAAGTAATAGGGAATAATGGAAATAAGTAAAATAAAAGGTGTGTATTTTGGTAATTTCTCCCATCATTTTTAGTAGGACTTACACAAATTTCATTAGTTTAGGAGCTAATTATTTAGATATACTCCTTAATTTGTAATATTACGAATCTTATTAGATATAATGTATTCAAATTAATTCACATGTATCTGGAACACATAACAAATCTCCCTCACATCCCTCTCATGTCACTGGTCTCTCTCCCTATTTTAGTATATGTGGTGTCAAAAATATTTGTATCTAGATGTATCTTCATTAATATATTATAGACAACTCTTAATTAGTATTAAAATATGTAATTATTTAAAAATATAAATAGAATTATATATATAATATGGATGTACATCTAATAACAAACGTTTTCATCGACGTTCTTGCTTCAGCGTCTTAATGACGAAAAATAAAAAAAAGTATTTCTATTGTTCTACTTTAATTTAATTATATATATTTTTTCAAAACTATGAAATCGTTTTGTTTATATCTTGTAACTACTTTGAGTAAAAAATCAAAAGGTTGATAACAAAAAATATTTTAATTATAAACATCTTAATGGACCTCTTCAACAATAAATTTGCGCAAACAAAAAGTAATTAACCACTTACATATCTAAAAATCATATTAAATTTATTCAACTTATTAAATTTTACATATATCATATAAATTAAAATATTGAATCCGTACTAACACCAACACCTCTTTATATTCTTTATATTAGTTCAAATAAGATATTCCTTACTTACTACCATATATATTTATCTATATCTTATTAATTATTTATTTTATATATATACTAAAAAGATAAGGGAGTAATATAGACCTCATGTCTAGTAAAGTGCAACCAATAGTGAGAAATATCTCCAATGCTAACACAAAGTTGTGAAATGCCATTTTTTTAAAAAATAAGATGGGACTCAGATTGCATTCTCTCTCTGTACACAATTTTTCTTCTATTACAAGTAAGATTTCATACTATTATTCTTGTGTTATTGAGAAATGGGAGAAGGGTATTAGACGAATCGAATCGTTACCAATTCAATTTGATGTTATTTACTCCGGCCTCTTTGTAAATTTGTGCGTCACAATTTGAATCATCCGAGTCAAATTTCTTTAAAATTTTAACCTATTGATTTTGATGTTTGAAGCAACTGGATCATTGAAATCTAGAGATTGTATCAAACCTGCTAGGAGAGTGCTGAAGGTATCTTCCGCGCTAGTAGAAACCGCAGCATCTATTGCAGTTGCTGCTACTCTTGTGGGAGCTGCAACAACTATTCTTGTAAAGAGAAATAAATCTTCTGAAGCAATCGAGGTGCGTTGAAGTAAAATAGTTATTTCTTTCCCCCCGCGTGTGAATTACATGAGAATTTTTTTGGGAATTAGTATGAAAATCTGCGGTAAAATAAGTTTACCATACTACTTTTGCTTTGTACTAGCCATAGTATTGAAGTTCTTTGTTTTTATTATAGGAAAAACGCATAAGTCTTCCTTAATATATGTCCGAAATCTCAGAAATACACTTGTACTTTACTAAGGTTCTATTATCCCTCAAACTTATTTTATAAATTAATTTCTATCCCCTTTCGGTCTACATGGCAGTATAATTGAAAAAATTGTCAATACGCGTTGGGCCCACAAGATAGTTTCACGTAAGCCGAAAAGGAATGAAAAATTATTTTATAAAATAAATTGGGGGTCATAGGACTTTAATATAGTATAAATGTATCTCTGAAATTTCGAACATAGTTTAAGGGGTACTTATGCATTTCCCCTTTTTTATATCTAGCATTACAGTTATTTACTGTATTCTGATTATCACACTTTTATTTTGTTTTTTTGTTGTTCTTGTACCTTTCTACATTGTTTTGTTTCTAGCCATTCAGTGAGGTTAATTGTTGGCCTAAGGTAACAATCTGTATTAGGTTATTTGCTTCTCCTATTGGCATGATTGTTGAAGTATCTCATTTCATCTGTTCCTCCGTTTCAATATGTTTGTCTGGTTTTGATTTGACATAAAGTTGTGAAATAGAGGGAAAACCAATAGTTAATTTGTTGCTCTTATACAACCCACTTTGACAGTTATTTTATGAATCGACAGGCCCCGGTGAGAATCTGTGAGGATTGCGATGGCTCTGGGGTTTGCGCAGAATGCAGAGGGGAAGGATTTGTGCTAAAAAAGATGTCGGATGAAAATGCTGAAAGAGCGAGACTAATGGCAAAGAATGCAGCTACCAGATATACAGCAGGGTATGTATGTTTCCGGTTGATCCTCATTCATATGCTCCGAGCTCTAGATACATGAATTCATATGTATATCATACATTTGGCAGGCTTCCGAAAAAGTGGGGCTACTGTATGAAATGCAATGCTGCCAGATCTTGTAGTTCATGTGGCGGCGTTGGCAAATTGAACTAATTGTTCTGCATTAGACAGACATTTGTCACAGACTTAGAGTTTCACTAATGTTCCATGTGATGGGACATGACACATTGCCACAATACAAATTCAATTGTGTCTTCTTCTTCAAAAACATATTGTGGCAATGCATTGGGAAGAGAAATGAAGAATAGTACATATTCAAACATTTTATCAAACATTGAGGCCTCCATTTGTACTTGATGAAAATTCAGACATTAGATTATTAAGTATTTTGTTTTCATTAAGATTTTAAATACTTGGCGTTGTTTGATAGGGTGTATTTTTGGAAATATATGTAATAGTATCATGTTTGGTGAAAATTTTGAATCCATGTGTAAGTTATAAATCCTACATGGTGTATATATAACTAATATCTTCAATTTGATGATATATACACCCTTAATTGTAATGCTTATTAATAAGTTCTGGTTATTTCTCTTTTTATTTTATATTTTACAATTTTGCTATTATTTAAGATAGGTATAAAACATAAACGTACTTTTTAACTTGGTTTTTTATTTTGTATTTATACGCTGTAATTTTTGGGTTTGTATGTATAGATACTCAAATTTGTACAAAGCTGAACAAGTGAGCACACACACGTCCTACTTGAGCATCTTACGTGACAATTCATGTCTAACGCGGCATCATATGTGGCGTCCTACATATATTATGTCATGCAAAATGTGCGATTCCACTTATTAACTCTAAACAAGTTTAAGCATCTACTTGTGCACATCAATAATTGAAAGATATAGTTATGAACTGAAGTTAAGTTTAAATGTGTGCGCGCGCGCGCGCGCACACATATATATATATATATAAAACTAGTTTTAAATATTTGATTGAACAGATAAAAAATAAACAGAGCGAATATTTTAATTAGTGATTTTTTTAGGTAAACACCACTACCATTAGTTCATGCTGTGCCCATCTTCCTATTTCTCCATAAATTTTTTATGTGTAAAAATAAAAATCTCTCGAAGTCATTCCAAATAATTCGAATTCCTTAAAAATTATTTTCAGAATATTTTAACTAATGGAAAATTGGACTGTGTACCAAGTATACCCTACATGTAGTATTCTTTAGTGGGAAATTTCCACTAGGATGTGTGGATCAAATCATCCATCATGCCACCAACTGGACCTAAATCATTATTTATTATTGACATAATAGTAATTTTTTTTTAATATAGGAAAAACAACTTTTTTCATATTTTATTCACAATATTAATTACTTATTCGACGAAAAAGTTTTACTTGAATGGTAAACGTTCTTCATTTCAAATTCAAAACTTGTCATTTAAGGGTAACATGAATATTTTAAAATTAAATTGTTAATTCCCTATCCTAATTTATGTGACATATTTCAAGTTTCGAAATTCAAACTAATCTACTAAATTTTCATATATCTTTTAAATATTATGGATTG